TTCTGATATCACCTGTATACAAGTGAGAGTTGGGGTTCTGGTATCACCTGCATACAGGTGAAAGTGGGGTTCTGAACTCACCTGGGCACAGGTGAGGCTGAGGGGTCTCGATTTACCTGCGTAGAGGTGAGATTTGGGGTTGGGAACTCACCTCCGTACAGGTGGACTTGGGGTTCTGGTATCACCTGCGTACAGGTGAAAGTGGGGTTCTGAACTCGCCTGGATACAGGTGAGACTGAGATTCCTTAACTCACCTGTGCGCAGGTGAACATGCTGATGCAGGCTCCAAACAGGGTGCAAGCAACTCCTACCAGCGCTTGCTATGAACGACTCGTACAGGTGACTAAGCGGAATCGACAGGCGATCCCTACCCTGGTGGATTGGGCTCGAGAGTGGGACGAGATTTGTCTCCATCCGTCCTCCTCTATGGAGGGAGGGGACGGGTCTACGCGACCTCTGATCCCGGGGAACGACCGCGGATTTCTATCCCGAGTCGCTGTTGACTCAGCGGCCGCGATTGTTTCCTCTGCCTGAGAACGGCTCCCTGACTCCCGGAGCTGTGCGGAGGAATGCGTGACCTCTAACCGTGACCTTAACCTTGACCTATAACCATTACCTCTAAGCGTGGTCTCTAATGTGGAACTCAACGATACACCAAGCGGCTATTAGGAACAACACCCGAAACGTCCATGAGCCCGTCAGATCTCGCAAGCTAAGCAGCGTTGCGCCTGGGGATTCGTCGGATGGTCGACCGCCATGCCTAGCAGCAGATATGAAAGATACCAGGAGTAATCATCCACAGCCCTTCTTTGTCAATCCACTGGATGCGGGCCTCTCGGTCATGGGGTGGGGGGATTGTTTGACTTCCCCGCGCGCCGGGACAGTGCGCGTTGATGGAGGTGCGGCGAGTCGGGAAGGCGACCTGTGCGCTCCCCTTGCGGGCACGCCTCGCCGTCAGCCGATGCTGGGAGAGGGAGGACGGCGATGACGTCTCGCTGTGGTCCCCGCACTCACTGATTCATCTCAGCGGCAACACATCGGAACGTGGACACGTCGAGTGCATAGGACGAGAGCAATGAGGGTACATTGCAATAATATAGGATAATTGCGAATACGTGTACCTGGAACTCTAGTGGTAGTGCCTTACGCCGCTAATCCCTAACGAAAGCCAACCTCGCAGCGTTCCGGAAAATATCGAGCGAGAAATGAGATCTCAAATGATGCTGCCCCCCCCCTCGCGGCTCACCCCCCACGCTGCTCACCACCCCCCCCCCGGCTCCTCACCACCCCCCCGCTCCTCACCACCCCCCCCCCCCCCACGAACCTCACAACCCCCCCCCGCTGCTCACCCCCCCCCGCTTCTCACCCCCTCCCCCGCTGCTCCCCACCCCCCGCCCCCCCCCAGGCTGCTGGCCAGGCCAGGCCGAGGCGGACACTTTCCTGTTCCCACGATTGAAGTCGAGCGAGCAGCGACCTCCCCAAAGGGGCCCCGGCCGAGGGGACCCGCAAGGTGCCAGGTGCGTGGGGGGCGCCGCGGTGGCTCGGAGATGTTAACGACCTCTCCCGCTGTACAGGAGGTCGTGGGCTCGATCCCGACCCTGATGTCTGCCGTATATTTGGAGTTTTCCTGTTCTCCCCGTGGTTGTGTGGATTTCTTTCCGGCTCTTGCGGTTTTTTCCCTCCACATTTAGAACACGCGTTGCGTTGAGCTCTCATTTGTGGCCAGGTCGCCTTCTGAAAAGAGCTACAGTGGGCCTTGCCCCGTAAAATAAACAAAAAATGTAACAAGTTATAGTTTATAGTTTAGAGGGAGTGACCTCTCTGTCAATCCCAGGGCTTCATCTTAGCCGGGTCAGAGCCAGAACAAAACGAATTCCCCACCTCGGCACACCACATCTAGTAAACCTCCCCCTCTGGTGGTGTGGCGACCACTCACGTGCCACCTACTTCAGTCTCGTTACCAGCGTCGAGAGAAATACTCAATGAGAAGTTACACCCTGCTCAGCCGTACCCCCACGTGACTCCGAGTAGCACCACGTGACTCTCTAGTGCCCCCACGTGACTCCCTAGTAGCACCACGTGTCACGTGTGGCATCGACACGTGGCATCCGTGTTGTCGTTGTCTGCAGAGCGCGGCGCGCGAGCTGAGCGCGCGTGGCAGGCGATGTGCGACCGCTCCCGACTCCGCTTCGAGCAACTCCAGCTCCACGCAGCCCCTGTGCACCTGGTGAGAAGGAGTCCCTCGTGGTGGGGGTCAAGGTCAGGCTCGGGGTCAATGTCACGGGCAGGCACGTGCTTCGTTCAGTAAGTCACAGGGAGAGGTTTATTGAGCTCAGTTTTGTTTTTGAGTGAAGCGAAGTCAACGTTTTGTTTCTGCCCAAACGGGTGCCGAACAGTGCTCCCCCTGGATTGGAGGCCCTGATTGAGTGGTGTAGCTTCCACGTTACTATGCCGGGGGTCGCTTCACGATGAAAGGCCATGATGAGAGGTATGGCCTGGAGTTAGGATCGACATTATTCCCTAAATAACTTGATTCTAACGTCAGCCAGATGGTACCTTGTCTCCCTTGTCCACCCATGTCTCCTGTCTGGCCCCGTGTCTCCTCGCGTCTCACCTGTCCCCCCCGTGTCTCCAGTGTCTCCCTCTCTCCTGCCCCCCCCCTCACCCCCATCATATCCCCACTCACACTGGTCCCGTGGTACCTCGTGTTTCCAGTGTCTGTGTCTCCCTGCGGCCGCCTTTGTCCCCTCGTCTCTCCCGTCTCTCCAAGTGTACCTTCCGCGTCTCCTGCATGCACTGTATGTTAAACTTCTTTCGCACCGTACGTAGCCAACCGTGCTTATCGGAGGTTCGTCTCCACGGTATCTCCCATTGACACTTCTCCCGTGTCTCCGTGTGCCCCGTGTCCCCGTGGGATGGTGGAGTCGGCGGAGCTGTCCGCGGTGCTGATCGCCAAGCTCCGCCACCAGGAGGCGCTGCGTCGCTCGCGTCTTCTCCGCCTGCAGGGCGCCAACTGGGGGGCGGGGGTCCTGGGCCGAGACCCCCACCGGGACCCCCTGCCGCGGGGGGTTCGGTCCCGCCTGGTTCCTGCTCCCGGCGATCGGCGAGCAGCAGAGGCAGCAGGTGCTTAGACCCAGTCTGTCTATTTATGGTGCAGTAATAACGCCAGTTAGTAATCCTGGAAGCGACACCGAGTCTCAAAGCTGCTTTGAAGAGACTCCTGCTACATGCGTGTTATGAGAGGTTAGAGCTATTTAGGTGTTTAAACTGTGCACATGGTCACAATCCCAACGCATTAATCGGCCAGCAACAAACAGCACCATGGTCTTGAATCGAGCAAGGTTGTTATTGTGAGGGCTTGGAGCGGGGGACGACGGGAGAAGGAATCCCAGAGTGGAGCAGTCGAAGGGAAAGAGTGGTGAGTGGGTGAGTGTGTGTGTGAGTGAGTGGGTGAGTGTGTGTGTGAGTGAGTGGGTGAGTAGGTGAGTGAGTGTGCTGAATGGGTGAGAGAGAGTGGTGGGTGAGTAGGTGAGTGAGTGTGTGAGGGAATGGGTGAGCGAGTGGGTGGGTGATTGAGCGGGTGAGTGAGCGGGTGAATGGGTGTGTAGGTGAGTGAGTGGGTGGATAGGTGGGTGAGCGTGTCGGCAAGTGCGCCGTTGTGACCTGCCGTGGTCGTGGTTGGATACAGTGTGGACGAGACGAAAGAGTTCACGTTGGCTTCACGCGGGAGGAGCTCGGAGAGCGGTTTGCTCTCCGGAGCAGTGACCCTGCCCGCCCGTGACTCTCCGCCTGCCCTCTGCTCTCTCTCTCTCCCGAGGCCATCTGTCAAACGCCCGCCGGTGACCGTGGCCCCAATCCCCCCACAACGGTGGGAGGCGGGGGCCCAGCGGGGACCCACGGGGAAGGGAAGTGCACCAGGGTTCGCTACAGGTGAGCTGAGATTAACAACCGCCTACCTGTAAAGTGTTGTTGTTATTCGCACTCGTCACGCATTTACGTGGATGGGGGATGCGGGGGAGCCGTGATGACGTCGGCACACACGAACCCGGCTCAAGGTCGTGGGATGCTCGCCCGTGCGACAGCCGGCAAAACTTGTTTTTCTAATTAAATAATGTAGCAGTACAGTCGTGTATGATACGTTTAAAAACGTATTTAAAATATATTCTCGGTGGGATTCTGCCCCAATGCCCCCGCGCGCCCCACGCAAACCCGGCGCCACTAATGGGCCCCCTTCTTCAGATTCCTCTCGGAGACAACAAACAACACCCCGGTGATCGGGGGCCGCGCCGGCAGCAAGGCGGCCGCAAGTTGGGGGGTACGGGACCCCCGGAAGAAAGTCGGCACTCACACCGAGGGCTCGCCGCCGAAACCCTCGTCGATCCCCGCGCAGGCCCCCTCTGGGGACCCCTGCCGAGACCCCCGGGAAGGAGGGGGCCTGTGTGAGCCGCTGTCCCTGCCCGCGCTCGAGGGCGCGCGGCCGCGTGGTGCGGGCGCTGGGGCGCGGCGCGTTCCGGAACGGCGCGGCGCGCGTGTGGCTCGTGGACGAGGCAGCCGCTCGCCGCTTCTCCTGAGTGACGTTACACGGCAAGTCCTCGCTTAACGCGGTAGATGCGTTCCTAAAAAGTGTCGCGTCAAGCGGGTAAACATTTTTTCCCCCCATAAATAATGTAGCGATAACGTTCGGCGAGATAGGACGAACAACTACGCACACACGCAGTGAGATGGCGTGACAAATACCTGAGGGTACGCCGCGCGTTACTGTTTCATTCCGCGTGTTGTATCGTAGCGCTCAGTCGCGCAGGCCTAAGAAAGTAGTTCGTTGTCGACTACTCATGAACCGCGTTATAATGGTGCACGTTCGGCGTTGTGGGAAAGCGTTTCCTAATTGAATAACCGCATTGTAGCAAGAACGCATTGTGTGAACACCGCGCGTTAAGCACGGACTTACCTATATTACCTGAAAGTTAAAGTTACAGACTTGTTTACGCCACGCACGGGTTTCCTTAGAGTCAGAGGCGCGGGAAACTGCAGACGCGCGGGAAAGGCAGCCGGAATCGGTGCTACGAACAATCACCCAAGCTCTGTGATCCTACACTTGGATGTTTGGCCAACTCAGTGAATGCGCGGTGATACCACACGGGAAGAGAGCCGAGTGCCTATAGAAGGCCCAGGGGGGTGATGCTCAATCACAGATGGAGACAGCCGGACATGAATCCACCGCCTTGTCCTGACAAGCCAGGGCATGGGCACATCCTGGACGCCCACGGGAAGGGAGTTGCACAGCCCATCTGAGTGTGATCCATCAACTCCCGCTGCTGCTTCCACAAGTGCTGGACTACAAGGCAGCCGCGTGCAGCAGCCGCGTGCAGCAGCCGCGTGCAGCAGCAGCAGCGGAGCCACCGCCCTGCGCGGGTTCCAGTTTCTCGAGGGTTTATTAAATCACGTGAAGATATACGTTGTGGAAAATCAATATTGTACGAGAAGGAATCAAACGTAGCAGTAAATATCACGCCAGCCAGAGCCTGGCCACATGGCTCAGTAAATATGAACAAGGCCCCCCTCCCGTGCCGCCCGTGTGCCAGGTCACGCGTCTCTCCTGCACCGCCATGGGTAATTAAACTCGCTCACACTCGCCTTGGGATTTGCTTTATTTTCCTTCCAAACGGATTGTGTGCTTACTTCTAAAATTATATGTTCTTGTGTTTAGTTTGTTCGATGGTAACGGTGCCTTGGATGGCCAGATTCTGTGCCGGGAAGGCGCCACAGATTCACGAATAAACATCGACTCGGCTTGACTCGTCCGGAACATCGTGGTGTTAAAAGAAAAAAAAGAAAATATATACATGATGATCGACGACGTTTCGGACAGTGGCCCTTCATAGCACAGGCATAACGCTCGCTCGGCGCGAGGGACGCATGAAGCCCCATGCTTAGCTGGGCCCTCCACCACCCGGTCACTCGTTTGACTTTAGATGCAACGCCTCGCGTCGTCCACCAGGAGGCGGACGACGCGAGGCGTTCGCAAGAGTCGGCCCTCGAGGGCCACATTCGAAACTCCAAAATGACACCGCAAATGACTAAATGTGGATTAAACACAGCAGCAACCATCGCCCCCAACTCGCATCGCCGTGCCCCGGGTCACTCAAACGGGACCTGGTCCCTTGATTACTCACCACCTCGTGTCCACCCGCTGGACTGCTGAGAGGCGAGGTTCATCCACAAACACCCGGGGATCAAACCCACACACTTTGTTTTATTTCGCTACCCATATCGCCCTGGCGACACACACCACGCGTGACGAGGTAAAGGCGCATCGCTGCAATTGCTGTGCTTGCCCCACTGCTGGCGGAAGAGCCTCCACTGGAGGAAGCTGTCGAAGGGCGCCAGAGTGGCTAGGAGATGTTGACGATCTCGCCTGGTCGACAGGAGGTCGTGACGTCTGCTGCTGTGTATTTGGAGTTTGCGTGTCGAGTGGATTTTTCTCCGGGTCCTCAGGGTTTCCCCTCCACATTTAGAATCACGTGTTTAGAGTAGTTGGCTGCTGTAAATTTACACTTCGTTGAGCTGTCATTTGTGGCCAGGTCGCTTCTGAAAATAGCTACTTAGCTCAGTCGGCCTTACTTGGTAATATGCAAATAGAAAGAACCCCCTCTAGAGGGTAGTTGGCCTACTCTTCCACGCTGGTCAGTGCGTCTCAGAAGAGGTGGGAGTACCGACACTTCATCCCCTCCCGCCACACGTGACCTGCCGAACTGTGACGAACCCATTCACACTGCCGCATCGGGAGATCGACCTGGCGGCCTTTGAATTGTGCATTCTGCTGACCGCCGCACCACGAAAGCATCCATATCGTGAGTATCGTAGAAAAAAAGACAAATACATCCCATAGAGTCGGCAAAGACTGTTGGGGAAAGTGCTGTTGGCGATCACCTATTAAGGCCAAAACGGCGCACGAGCAGGTAGCGTTTTCAGCGCCACGCCCGGCCACCTTTGTCTCCCCAGTGCTAATGTTTAAACGCCGCACTGGGTTCTCGTTTGAGGCCGAGTCGACCCAGCTGAGGGCGGGGACAATGTCGGGTTAGTGGTGCAGTGCGCTAAACCACGTGCGCCACCGCTTCCCACACACAAAGACACACTCACACTCGCAGAAGGCACTTAGACCCAGAGTGGAGACCCCACGCGGTGCAGAGAAGTGAGGCCACCTGCACAGCACAGGTGTGTCCAGGTGAAGCTGGAGGCTGAGAGGCCTTCCCCGCTCCCCTCTCCCACTATCATCCCTCCCCGTGCTCAGTGTTGCTTCCAGGTGAAAATCAAGTGTTGAGGGGGAGCACCACTTAAAGTGCGGGGGTGGGGGCCGCCCATAGCCACACTCCACTCCCAACTCACACTCCACCCATAGCCACGCTCCACCAACCAACGATCCACCCACACCCGTACGCTCCACGTGTACGCTCCGCGTGTGTGGGCGTCGGTACAACGTGAATCGCGTGGCTCTCTCTGCTCAGTCTCACCGCGCGACGTGGGATGAGACTGTGGGATGACACCGTGGAGGTGACGAGGTGTCGATTGTGAAGCAGCTGCCAAATCTGGCAGAAGCAAGGAAGCCATAGCGAGGTGCGGTGGTGGTGGTGGCATTTACTGCCGTGACCTCTTGACATTGATGCCTCTTCAACCGACTGTGAATTGGGGAGGGGGCACTGTTGGGGAGGCGGCACTGCTGTTCATCGGCTGAGGGGGGGGTATGGACCTCCCCCTGCCGTCACCCACCACCAACACCCCCCCACGACCACGTGACAATTTCACACAGACCCCCACCCCCCGTGATCACGTCTCAATATCATCCGAAACTCCACGTCCCTCAACATCTCTTTGCTCACGCGTGCATTGACATCCACAACAGCGGTGGTGGAAATTCCACATTGCTACGACGGGAGCGAGTCCATCTCACATGTTTAACCATCGTTGATTACACCCGGGCACCGTCAACTCCCCAATTGCGAGAGTCCCCCCCACCCCGCCCCCTAGTAGCTTGCCACCACCACCACTACCACCGCCACCACCACCACCACTACCACCGCCACCACCGCCACCACCACCACCGCCACCACCGCCACCACCACCGCCACCCCCTTGGGAGCCTCACTTCTACCGGGCGCACTTCCGCGAGGCACGCGACTTCCCCGCCTGCTGGGGGTAAGACGCGCGCCCGGGGGGCCCCGGGGGAGGCGGGGCAGCGTGCCGGGGCAGGTCGGGCAGCGGCAACGCGAGCACGGCGATGGGGATGCAGCCCGGGGGCAGCCCCGCGGGGGCAGGCTGCCCCGGGGCGAAGGGGAAGATCTGGTAGCCGGCCGAGCAGAGGGTGGGCAGCGCGTCGTCCGGCCTGTGGGCAGCGGTGCATCAGCAGCGGCGTCAGAAGGATCATCCGGATCAGGCATCATGATCATCATGCACGACGCCTTAAGTAGCAGCAGCAGCAGCATCGTACATCATAATCAGCAGCAGCATCATCAGTTGCGAGATCGATCGAGGTGCATCATCGCCAAGAGATCCGCTGCTGCCTCGCGTGTCCCCTCGTGCCCCGCTGTCTGCCCCAGGGCTCCAGGTGTGTTGAACTCTTTCGCACCGCACGGAGCCAATCGTGCTAATCGGAGGTGCGGGGAATGACAACAAAGGTGCCGGTCTCCCGTGTCCCCTCGGGCTCCCGTGTCTCCCCGTGTCCCCCGTGTCTCCCACGTGTCTCCCGTGTCTCCCACGTGTCTCCCGTGTCTCCCACGTGCCCCGTGTCCCCTAGTGACGCACCCCCCTCCCCACTCCGTGCCCCCCCCCCCCCGCTCACCCGTGGAAGCCGACGTTGTCGTACCCGCGCCCCCGCGCGCGCTCCCTTCCCGTGCGCCCTCCCACCTCTCGCTCCTCCACGAACTCCATACTGGGGACGGGGTGATGGGGGGGTGAGAGGGGGGGGGGTGATGGGGGGGAGAGAGGGGGGGGGTGATGGGGGGGGTGAGAGGGCGGGGTGATGGGGGGGGGGTGAGAGGGGCGGTAATGGGGGGGATGAGAGGGGGGGTTGCGGGGTGAGCGGTGGGTGGACGCCCACGCGTTCCAACTCGGTGTATTCGCTGCATGAACAACGAAGGAGGCGCAGATCCCCCGCGTAGCCTGCACGGGCTGTGAGCGAGCGCCTATCGAGTGAGACCTGCACGTGGGTGGCCGCTGGGCAGAACCACGCCCAGCCGCCTGGGAGATGTTAACTACCTCGCCTGGTAGACAGGAGGTCGTTGATTCAATGACAACCCTGGCAGCTGTATATTTGTAGTTTGCATGTTCTCCTCGTGGTCGCGTGGATTTGTCTCCGGGTCCTCCGGATTTTTTCTCCACGTTTAGAATCAACATCACCACGCGTTTAGAGCATTTGGTTGTTATGAATTTACACGCGATAAGCCAACTTCGTTGAGCTGTCATCTGTGGTCCAGGTCTCTTCTGAAAAAAGAGCTACATAGCTGAGTGGGCCTTACTTGGTAAAATAAAAAATAAAATAGTTGATAGTTTAAGACCGCAGGAGCTTCTACCTCCGGGGATCGATTCCGGCTCGACCTCTGCGAACGCCGTGGTGCCCGGACCACTCCCGCTCCTCCGGGTGCTCCACCGGGTGCCCCCCTCCGTGATCCTCTCCATGACCCCCTCCGTGACCCCCCTCGTGCCCCTCTCCGTGACCCCCCTCGTGCCCTTCTCCGTGACCCCCCCCGTGCCGCCGCTGCTGCTGCAGCTGCCGCTGCTGCTGACGTTGCAGGCGACGGCTGCGCAGGCAGCAGGATACGAAGGCGGTGGAGAGGACGAGGATGAGGGCGCCGCTCACCACGGAGGCCAGCACCGCCACGCGGTACCCCATCTCGTCCTCTAGGGGGGGGGGGGGCAGGGCCAGGGGGGTGAAGGCAGGCGCAGCGTGATTGCCCTGGGTGACGTGGTGGTTATATACAAATACCGAGTGTGTGTGGCACGCGCACGGAATCTGCCACGTGTTTGGAAGGTATCCGACACTCACCGGGAGGTGTCCATATCGGGGGGGGGGGGTATTTAGACTTGAGGGGTATTTACACCTGGGGGGTATTTACACCGGGGGGGGGGGGTGTCCACTCTGTGAGAACCCTGCATCTGCTTGCGTAGGGGAGCTACGCTGACACAAACTTGGGGGGGGGGGGTAGGCACCTGAGTATAGTGCGGTAGTTCTGGGTGTCCGAGACACGTGTTGGCACGTGCTAGACACGTGTTGTGGGGGGTATGGGGCAGGTGCCCTGGGAGGCGTAGGAGTAGTCACCCAGGCACGTGTTGCAGTGTCTTCGCTAGGATGTTAGCGCAGCTACTCTGACACGGAGGGAAGGGGGGGGGGCTCCTGGGTTACCCTGGCAGACGGGCGGGGGGTCGCTCCACGTGGGGGTCCCGTCCCGCAGGGAGCACGTGATGCGCGCCCCCCCCGCGAGGCGGTACCCCGCGCGGCACGCGAACAGCAGCACCGCTCCCGGGGCCAGCGCCCCCCCCGCAGCGCCGACCCCCACCAGCGACTCGTTCCGCGACTCCAGGGAGAGCCAGCCCCCCAAGGGGGGCGCCACCTCGGGGCACGAGACCCCCTCGCCTGGGGTGGAGCGCCCAGACCGAGGGGGGCAGTAGGGGTAGGGGGGTCCGGAACGACATGGGACAGAGTCAAGGGGTGAGGGGGCCCGTGTGGTTGTAGAGATGTGATCGATAAGGGGATCCTGGACCCCCCTCCCGCCTCCCTATGCATCCCTGTTTGTTGTTGGTGTGGTTTAAGAGTCAAGGCGGCGAAGTAGACGTCATCATCGTCATCATCATCATCGTGTTTACCATCACCACCAGCAACATCACCACCACCACCACCATCCTCCTCCTCGGCCGCTATCAATGTCGGCCACAGCTTAAGTAGCACAATCGCCCCCCGCTGTGACCTGAGCTCTCCTTGCCCCCCCCAATCCGCTTAGCTGGGGGGGGGGGAGGTGGAAGTGGTGGCACACAGTGTCCGCTGCCCTCCAGATGACCATGGCGAGAAGGCCCCCGCTAACTCTGCGCCAGGGCTTGGTGCCACACTCGAGATCTCACCGCGTCGCTGGCGGAGACTGCGGTAGGTGGGGAGGTGACTCGGAGCGGTAGAAGTAGCCGCAAATCCATCGCGAGAGCCATACTGGATGTGGTGTTCCGCCAGCCGCGCTATTCCACTGTCGGCCTTGAACTCCATTCATAAGCTCGCGACGCCACGCATCACGCCTCAAAATAAGGAACGGAACTGATGGACTTCTCCAAAAATCTGGCTATCGCCTGATGAAGTTGGTTGTAATTACTGGCGAAACGTCGTACTTGGATTGTAAATGTTGTGGCTTGGCTCTCCAACACACCGGTTAGTGCTGTACTAGTGACAAATTGGCCACGTTCTGTTTACGTGACAAACCTTACTAATTGGCTGTGTCGGGTGGTGGCGGGTTTAACGACACATTTATATATTGACGCGATCTAACCCAAAAAAAAACTCTATTATGGATAAATACACATAGTCCCCACCACAATCACCAACTCACTCACCAACCTACTTACTCACCAACCTACTCACTCACCAACTCACTCACGAAATCACCAAACTACCTCACTCACCAACCCACTTACCAAACCACTCCACTCACTCACCAACCCACTCACTCACTCACCAACCTACTTACTCGCCAACCTACCCGCCCATCCACCCACTCACCAATCTACAGTACGTCCTCACCAACTCACCGACCTGCTCGCCCAGCCTGGACAGGCCCCCCTTGGCGTCTGTGCCACGTACCTATCGTGAAGAGCGCGGGCGGCGCGGGGTCCGTGGGAAGGGGTTCCCTCTCACGCCCCGGGGGCGCCGGGGGGGGGCCCAAGGGTCCGAGAGAACCGAGGGGACCCTGGGTCCCACTTCCGGCCGCGTCGACCCCCTGCGAACCCAGCATCGCGAGCAGAGAGGGGAGAAGCAGAGGTCGCGGCGTGGCGAGCATCGGTCCTGTGGGTCGGTGACGAGGGGGGAGGCGCAGCGAGAGACGGGGCAGTGGGCAGCCAGAGACGGGGGGAGTGGGCAGCGAGCACAGATCGAGCAGGTGGCGAGTGCAGCACCGAGCGGAGTCGCCCCGCGATCACGCGCGTGATAGCGCAGCAGCTGAAGAGGCCTCGCACTGTGGACACGCGGCTGTCTACGCCGGGCTGTGTTCACGGATCTCTTCTACCGCGTCCTCGAGTGGCGGGTGAGAGCTCCTGAGCGCAGATGCTGCACCCCCCCACCCACCCCCTCCCTGCTACCCCCAAGCAGGCGTCCAGGACGCGGGGGAAGACGCGAGTCAGGGGTAGCGGGATTGGTCAATCGACTCCGGTAAATCCTCCGTCCTACTCATCACCCCCCACGTCCCTCCATGCTACTCGCCACCCTCCTCCCCTTTCTCCCTGCCCCCCCCGCCACCCTGCCCCCCCCCCCGCCACCCTGTCCCTGCCCCCCCCGCCACCCTGTCCCTGCCCCCCTGTCCCTGCCCCCCCGCCACCCTGCCCCTGCCCCCCTGTCCCTGCCCCCCCGCCACCGCCCCTGCCCCTGCCCCCCCCCGCCACCCTGCCCCTGCCCCCCCCCGCCACCCTGCCCCTGCCCCCCCCCGCCACCCTGCCCATGCCCCCCCCCCGCCACCCTGCCCCTGCCCCCCCCCGCCACCCTGCCCCTGCCCCCCCCCGCCACCCTGCCCTGCCCCCCCGCCACCCTGCCCCTGCCCCCCCGCCACCCTGCCCCTGCCCGCCCCCCGCCACCCTGCCCCTGCCCCCCCGCCACCCTGCCCCTGCCCCCCCGCCACCCTGTCCCCTGCCCCCCCGCCACCCTGCCCCTGCCCCCCCGCCACCCTGTCCCTGCCCCCCCGCCACCCTGTCCCTGCCCCCCCGCCACCCTGTCCCTGCCCCCCCGCCACCCTGTCCCTGCCCCCCCGCCACCCTGCCCCTGCCCCCCCGCCACCCTGCCCCCCGCCACCCTGCCCCTGCCCCCCGCCACCCTGCCCTGCCCCCCCGCCACCCTGCCCCCCCGCCACCCTGCCCCTGCCCCCCCGCCACCCTGCCCCTGCAAGCCAAGTTGACCCTGCGGAGCGACTCGGGCTCACGGAGGCCGCGGCTCGCTCGGTGTGGGGGGCAGGGTTCGAGGCAGCTGTTGCTGCGAGGGCTATAGGGTCGGGGGTAAGAGATTGGGGGAAGAGTCGGAGGTGCTGATTAGAGTTAGAGACGAGATTAGGCGCAGCTGGAGGTAAGGAGATATGTTTAGGGGTAGAGTTAGGATTTAGGGTCAAGGGTCCCCGTCCCCCGTATCCCTCCCCCGAACTCCAGCGAATCGATTAGAATACATGTTCGATTACAATATACATTTAAAGTACCGTCTCGTTTGTATTGTTTCGCCTTTTCAATTCCTTCCCAGAGGGGAGTATCCATGGGGTTCGCATCTGGCCTTAATCCAGTATTGGATTAGAATAGGATTGTATTTTATCGATATCCGTTTGCTATATTTTTATGTTAAAATATATGATAGTAATATAATAAAATATGGAAAAAATAGGTAATGTATATTTCTGTGTATCCCAATGGTATCAGTTCAAAGTCAAAAGTTGATTGCTCAAGAAAATCACGCGGAACTTTAAGGTATCAAATGTTTCCCGATAAACCCGAAGACGCCTTCACAGCCGAAACTTCGCTTGATAAAAAAAAGAAGCGATTAATGACCCACACGCGCCCACGTTCTCAAGTACGTATCGGTCAATAATCGACAGGGTTGTTAAACGACAACCGAGGGCCGTGTTCACAAGCCGCCACCGCTTCCCCAGCTGGGACACCTGCAGCGTCACCATGAGACGCGCCGCGTTGCTTTCAACTGCCGCGCCGGGAGATAGGAGATCGGAGTCGGGCCGGCGGCTACCGCGGTGACCTCGTGAACCATCGACAGCGCCGCTGGTGAGACACCACGGCACGGCCGAGGAGGGGAGAGAGAGGTTCGCTTCAGCACGGCACTCACCTGCGACCAGCGAGCTTCCGCGGATTTCAAATTCCGAAAGTCGCCAGCAACAGTCGCGCGGGTGGCTCTGTCGGACGCGACTCGTGGCAACCGCGACTCAGGACCAGAACCCGCTCTGCGCTGCGAGCCAGGAGTCAATAATTAACCCCGACCATTAAAACCAAATTCCACAACCGTTGGCCCTAAACCCCAATCCTTAAACTTAACCAGATTCCCAAACCCCTAACTATACACCCTAAGCCCAAACTTAAACCCTAAACTCAAATCCTAAATCCGAACCCTTCACCACCATAATCATTAACCCCCGGCTCTTAACTCTAGATCCAGAAGAACGTGTTTCAGAACACAAACGCCGGACTGGTTTCGCCTTTCCGTGGCTCATCAGCAGCACCAGGTTCGCTCAACGACAAGACCGCTCGTGTAGCAGGCCTTGTTATATTGCGAGAAACCTCCCCCCTCTCCGTGGCCACACAAACAACAACAAAGATCCCTCGTCTCGCCTTGGACAGACTGTGGGCGCAAGGGCTGGTCGCGAGCAGCTCCTATGAAGGCTGCCGGCGCTGTGGCACACGAGGGGCTGGGTGGCCAGCACCACGCCCGGCCGCATTTGTCTCCTGAGTGGCGATGTTTACACACTGCCACCGGGTACTCATTTGAGGTCGAGTAGACCGAGGGGAGGCCCAGGACCGGTTTAAATAATCGTCACCGGGGTTGGCTGTGAGCGGGAATTGAACTCTGGTCGCCAGGTTTGTAGCGCAGCGCGCTAACCGCTACACTACTGCTGTGTAGACACAGACACTACACACACTACACGCACACCACACACACCCACACACTACACACACACCATACACACTACACACACACCACACACACCACACTACACACACCATACACACTACACACACACCACACACTACACACACCATACACACACGACACACACACCACACACACACACCACACACACACTACACACACACCACACCCACCACACACACTACACACACCACACACACTACACCACACCCACTACACACACTATACACACACACACCACACACACACCAGCACCACGGAGCGAGACAGGGAGGCCACCACAGTGGTGGGTGGGGAGCGTGGGGCCCGGCCCGATGTTCAAGGTGAGCGGGGCGATACTCTTCAAGTCTGCCGATGATTACAGGGTCGTGGTATCTCTGTCACCGAGACTCCTGCGTGCACGCGCGGCCACAGAACAATGGCGCTATTCACTCGGGGGGGTGCAAGGGTTCATTCCCCACCCGCCCCCTGCGATTCGACAAATAATCCACGACTCAAGTAGTCGCGACTCAATTCAAGAACGCGGTGCAATCGGTTTGTCGCGGGAATCTATTGCATACAAAATGTTGCCATCATTGTCGTCAGCCATGGTAAATCCACCGCTGGATGAAGGAGTCATACTCAGGGGGGGGGGATTTTTCGCCAGGGTCAAGGCGCGAATACAGGTGGAGGAGTCACCACTTACAAAGCACTGTGGTCTACACAACCACACGGCCTCGTGGTAAAACACGCGAACATGCTTCGATCGGCCTCTGTGGAGGAGGCTCGTGAAGGACGCTGCTGCTATTGGGCAGTTGGAGGCAGTCGTCCTCCAGCATCAACGGAGGGCGGAGGAGCGACGCTCACAGCAACAAGCGGAACGACGAGCAGAGCGCTGAGCGGCAAAAAACGCAGCAAGTTGGCACAGTAGGTGGCACAGGTGGTGCATCGGCCAGTCATCTCAGTCGGTCGACCCGTGGCACCTGCTGGGTCTGTCCCGTGACCTCCTGCCAGCGGGCGTTCGACATTTCACGTAGCCTTAAAGTGCACTTCGCCTGGTAAAGGTGCCATGGTGAACGTCACCACCAATTGGTGGCCAATGGCGGTTGTTGTTATTTGCACAGACGTGATGACGCGCCTTTTAATCGGTGTCTATTTGACGCGTTCAGGCGTCTTTGACACCTCCTGGATGGACGCCAGCCAGGGTGAGGACGGCACCCTCCGCCGTTCAGCCATCCTCTCCCGAGTCGTCGCCAACGCTCCATCTCGCGACCCGGTGATCTCACGATCCGGCGCCTGCGCACCGCGATCCGACTTCACCGCTTCATCTCCTCGCGGGCGCTTTCCACAGTCCCGGGTGCCGCGAGCTTGCCGCTTGTTGCAGGGATTCGCGGTTCGGTTCCGGACGGCCGGCCTGGTTAATGCTGCGGTGGGTGGGTCTATGGATCTTCGTATGTTTCAGACCATCTATATCGCAGTGGATATAAAAATCGAAATCCCTGCCACGTTAATTTCTGCACCTCCAAGATGCTTACCCTATACTCCTTCATTGTGACCAAGAGTCCCACCCAACACAACAACCTCCTCCCGATTACATCTACACGTTCCTGCCACGTTCCAAACAGACATGACCATCGCCACCACCACTCAAGTTGCGACAACTGGCGTCTTTATTCCATTCAACGAACGTTTGTTTACATCTCATATCCCCGTTTTTTTAAAAATGATCCTGGACCCTGCACAAACACATGCACGCACCGGACCGAGCGCGAACATCGACAAAGCGCGGAGGACGGACGGACAGACAGACGGACGCGGTCCGGGGTGGATCCGGAGTTGCGATGATCCACCCCGGGCTTTGGTAAAAATCGAAGACTATCGCGAGCCGGGGGCGGCTGTGAAATTCCCCCCCCCCCCCCCCCCCCGTGGAACTAACGCGAGAGCGAAGAGGCCAATCAGAGATTAGCACTAGCAAAGCTGACCAATCAGAGATTAGCACTAGCAAAGCTGACCAATCAGAGATTAGCACTAGCAAAGCTGACCAATCAGAGATTAGCACTAGCAAAGCTGACCAATCAGAGATTAGTGCGTTCATGACTAACCAATCAGAGATTAGCACTAACAAAGCTGACCAATCAGAGATAAGTGCGTTCATGACTAGCCAATCAGAGATTAGCACTAGCAAAGCTGGCCAATCAGAGATAAGTGCGTTCATGACTAGCCAATCAGAGATTACTGCGTTCATGACTAGCCAATCAGAGATGAACCATAACCACGACTGGACTTGGCGCTAACAAAACTGGCCAATCATAGATTAGCGACAGCCATATTGGCTCTCACCACAATAGCCAATCAGAGCGTGGCTATAGCCACAGTAGCCAATCAGAGCGTGGCTATAGCCACAGTAGCCAATCAGAGCGTGGCTATAGCCACAATAGCCAATCAGAGCGTGGCTATAGCTGCAATAGCCAATCAGAGCGTGGCTTTAGCCACAATAGCCAATTAGAGCGTGGCTATAGCCACAATAGCCAATCAGAGCGTGGCTATAGCTGCAATAGCCAATCAGAGCGTGGCTATAGCCGCAATAGCCAATCAGAGCGTGGCTATAGCTGCAATAGCCAATCAGAGCGTGGCTAAAGCTGCACGACGTGATCAGATCATTGCTCTGAGCACACGAGCCCGAGACATGCGCCAGCCTGGCCACGCTAGCCAATCATAGGCGAGTGCTAACCCGCGGCACGCTGGCCAATTAGATGCAAGCCCTCTCCACTTGCTACGCGGGGGAGTTCACAGCGCCCAGCCACATGCAGAGGAAACGCGAGTCCCTGGCTTCAAATCCCGACAACAAAGACGCACACACACACACAGAACGCACACACAATGCACGCACACATATTGCACAGGCTTCTCACCAGCACTACCCATACTCTACACAAACACTAACCCTACCCATAATCCTAACACTACCCATACACTAACACCACCCCTACCCTTACCCTATGCATAAAACTACGACTCTCCATACACTACCACACACACAGTACCCATACATTGACTATCCCTGACTCTGACCCCTGACCTTACATCAAACCGTACGTACCCTTATTCCTAACCCAACTCCCAATTCGACGCAACATCATCGCCATCATCATCGTCGTTTAAAAAAGTGGATTCGTGCTCAACTGAGCATTGAGGCACTTGTGGCCATTTCCTGTTTGCAGCCCCGCCAGAGTCGGGGGTGGAAGCTCCCCCCCCCCCCCCCCCATGCGGGGCCGAGTCTCGACAACACGACAACTGCTGTGGGTCGACTCCTCCACAAAGCGGCACTCATTTCATCGACCCCGGAGGGATGATGATGGGCCGATGCGACCCGCAGCCGGGATGTGGACTCACCGCCGCTCTGCCCGCCGAGGCACCCGGCCGGCTCCGTCATCGCGAGGGGAGGTGGATTTGCATTCGCAGGACATTCCTTCAATACCCCAGCATCCCGACGCATCTTACACCTCACCGCAACGATCCCGGCGCCCTGTCGTAGTTTGATCGATCGTCGTCGTCATCGTCGTCAACATCTGTGTCAATACTGAGGCACGTGTTTCCATGCCCAGTAGGGGCCGTTTGGCAACGCTCCATTGCTCCGCCGGTCCTAATCCGGCGGTTGACATTCCGCGTTCCTATGGCAGGACCGAGTAGACCCCCCCCTCCCCACGCGACACGGGACGATCACCGCGATCTTCCCTTCGAGCAGCGCAGCTCGGCAGATGGTGGGTTGCGACCGTCGTGACCGAGCTCACGTCGACTCGGACGCTACGACAGCTGTGCAATTACTTTGTCGGCACATCATCGGCGTCATCGGCGTCATCGGCATCATCAGTAACCATCCATACCATTTGCATCATCCGTACCATTACCATTGGCACTATCAGTACCATCATCGCCATCAGCACCAACAGTACCACCAGTGTCGCTGGGTACCACCAACAATGATGGCCTCCATTCGCCATCAAGTGACGGTGACGTCACCACAGCGCTTGTCCCAGGCTAGGTGCACTTCGAGTCCACGTGAAGAAGCGTCGAATGTACCATCGACGGCGTCGTCATCATCATCATCGCCATCGCCGCCATCGCCATCAGTCGGCACCATCGGGTCCCGCCTCCGGCCCGTCGCTGTCGTCGTCGTCCGAGAAGCTGTCGTCCTCATCGACGCCCGGCACCTGTCCCAGCGCCGCCTGCTCCAGCGCGCGTCTCCACGAGAGGAGCAGCGCGTCCGTGTCGGCCGCGAGGCCCAGGCGGCGCTGCGACTGCGCCAGGACGAGCGCCCGCCGGCCGTCCACGCCGTCGCCCGCCGCTGGCGACCGCACCTCGTAGCCCGGCAGCGGCAGCGTCTTGAGCGCCCTCACGTCCTGCGGGCGCACGCGCACGCGCACGCGCACGCGGTCAACCACCTCGCCTGGTGTGCAGGAGGGCGCCTGCCGCACGTTTGGAGTTTGCGTCTCTCTCCCCGTGGTCGCCTGGTGTTTTCTTTGGGGCCTTCCGGTTTTTCCCCTCCACATTTAAAATCAACGCGCCTTGAAGAGAATGTGGCCACGATACATTCTCACATGGTGACGAGCCACTTCTCGTTAGGCTGTCATTTGAGAGAGCCAGGTCGCTTCTGAAAAAGAACTACATAGCTCAGTGGACCTTACCTGGTGAAATAAACATAGATCAGTTTAGACGGTGTACTCCGCTGGGAGGCAGCGGATTGGAGGCAGTGGTTAGCTGCGGGGGGTGGTGGGGGCAGTGGGTGGCGGCGGTTAGCAGAGGGGGGGCAGCGGTTAGCGGAGGGGGGCGCTGGCACCTGCGGAGCGGCGTAGACGTAGAGCACGAGTGGGTCGCTGCGCGGGATGACGCACCACACGCGCGCCCAGCTCTGCCGCCCCCCACACTCCAGGAAGTGCAGCGAGCCGCAGATGATGCTCTCCCGTGTCGCCTCCTCGGCACTCTGCTTCTACCGGTGTGGTGGGTGGGAGGGGAGGGGGGTGACTGAAATGTTTCCCAATCTGATGAAGCAATCAGAATCGAGTGGTTTACCCTCTCTGGCAATAAAAAGAGGTGTTAAGATGTTCAAACACCAAACAGAAACTTTTTTGCGAGGCGTGACACGGGGGAGCCGCCCGCACCTGCAGGATGTTGCGGTTCTTGATGGCCGCCGTGCTGGTGCGCGCCTCCTCGGTGAGCTGCGCGTAGCAGGTCCAGCACACGCGCTGCAGCTTGCGCGGCTCGTATGCCAGCAGCACGCGGTGGTCCGAGCACTTAAAGCACACCACCTGCGCGGACAGCACACCGCACGCGGCGCCACCGCCGCCGCAGATCAGCACGGTCGGCTGCGTACCGTGCGAAACAACTTTGCGCACGTTGACTACCTCGCCTGGTCTACGGGAGGTCGCGGGTTCGATCCCGACCCCGACGCCTGCTGCTGCTGTATATTTGGAGTTTGCGGTGTCTCTCTCTCTCCCCGTGGTCGCGTGGATTTTTCTCCGGGTCCTCCGGGGTTTCCCCTCCACATTTAAAATCACCATCACGCGTTTTAGAGTATTTGCCTGCAATAAATGTACACACAATGATAAGCTACTTCGTTGAGCTGTCATTTGTGACCAGTTCGTCTCTGAAATTGAGCTATACAGCCTTACCTGGTAAAATAAAAATACATACACCACGTGGAGGGGGGGGGGGGGGCACGCCGCACCTTCCCGCAGGCACGGCAGTGGTGGCGCCTGCGCGTGAGCGCCGTGAACGGATCCTGGCAGGCCATGCACAGCGTGACGTTGACGTCGCGCACCCACATGGGAGCACGCTGGCCCAGCTCCAGCCCCTGGGTCGCGGGGGGGCTCTGAGGGGGGAGGGGAGGTCAAGCAAAGACACTTAGTGACACATAGAGACACAGTCTTACGGAAAGACAGACTTCCATAGAGACCCAAATAATTCCACAGAGACCCATAGACTTGCACGACGACCCACAGACTTAAAGACCAATAGACTTACGCAAAGACGCAGCCGAGTGATTTGCGGTGTCATTTTTCTGATTTGGCAAATCTGCACCGCGACGCGGGTACACAGTGGCCGAGTGCTCGTTTCGATTGACGTCACGGGACCTTTAACGTCCACCGCAAAGCAGACGGCGAGCACGAATTTACCACACCAACACGGCATTAACCAGGGCAGCCTGCCGGAACCTAACCGCCAAATCTCTGCAACGAGCGCCGAACGCGCGATCGCTGGGCAACGTCGGAGACATTCGCAGCAAAAAGAAACGCGCAGCATCAGACGTCATCGCTGCGCTCGTCGCTGGCTCACCGACACGCTGGGGCCCTCGACCACGTCCTTCTTGTGGCCCATGAAGGTCTCCTCCTTCTCGCGGAACGTCTTTATCACCTCGTTAATGGCCTGGAAGTGTGGCACCAGGTTGCACCGTCAGGGTCGGACCGACCGAACGCGAGCCCCGAACCCAGGGTCCGTCTACGGCTCGTGCGTGCGTGTGCGTGCGTTAGTGACACTACGTGGCATTAGAGTGGTATTTGTAGTCGAGACAACGCACGTTTTCTTTAAAAAAAAAAAAAAAACGCACGTTTCTGGGAGGCTCAACCATGACACATGGTGGTGCTGAGCTGGAAGCCCCACCCACTTTCACTTGGCCACGCCCTGCTCAACCATTAACTCCGCCAACACAGCGAGCGGATTGCCCGTTCTCACATTGGCCCTGCTCACTGCTCGGGTAACCCCGCCCACTGCCTGGGTAACCCCGCCCACTGCCTGGGTAGCCCCACCCGCTGCCTGGGTAGCCCCGCCCACCGCTCAGGTAGCCCTGCTCATCGCCCGCATCATGAGTTGAGCACGAAGCCAGAAGCTTTGAACCAGAGACAAAAACCCGATCGTCGCCAACGCTCCGGAGGGGACACCGGGACATAACTTTCTGAAACTGACGCGAGTGGCCCGGCCGAACCTAGTTTGATTCCAGCTCACGGCCAACACCGGTGACGATTACCTGAACCGGTCCTGGGTCTCTTAGAGGGCGACTCAGCCTCAAACGAGTACCTGGTGCACCGTGTAAACATCGCCACTGGGGAGACAACGGCAGCCGGCCGTGGTGCTGGCCACCCACCCCCTCGTGCGCCGTGACGGCCTTGATAGGTGCGACTCGCTAACAGCACTTGCCCCAACAGTCTGTTATGGCTACACGGCGGATCTTTGTGAGGAGTGACACTCAGTATCTGAGTGTGACGCAGTGCAGTCTACGAGAGTGTACTTTGCCCGAGCTGTCTGCTCTCACCTTCATCCACTCCTGCTTCTCTTTCTCCGTCCTTGCATCCAAAGGGAGCGGAGGGGGAAGAAGGGAGGGAGGTGAAAGAGAGAGGGAGGGACACCGGGTCACTGTGAGTGCGAGTGTTCCACCGTTTAACTCCGTGACTTCAATCCCACTGTTAACACTCTGGTTCCTCCTCCGCGTGGCTCGAGGAGGAGGGGGAGGAGCAGGTGTGACCTCCGGCAACGGGAAGGAGAGGCGAGTAAAGCATCTGGAGCAGAGCAAACTTGCCAGCCAAATGCACTCCCTGAAGCCAACCCTCGCTCGTGAGCCACGAGGAGCAGGCCCAGCCCTTACCAGCCAGAGAGGCAGCTGTCACCGACCCGAACCAACCAGCCAACCACACACTCGCAGTGGCAACTCTTTAACTTCACCTACTGGCCTGAACCCATCTCCATTATCTCTCAGTCCGTGACCCCAGGTTACCCCTGCACCCCCCCCCACCCCACCCTTGGGGGGATCACGACTCCAGCCCCCCGTGATTACCGAGCCTGGAAGTCAATGGTCCTCTGGACTCCGCAGACCTGGAACGTGGGGACCTGGTCGTGTTGGTTCACGTCCTTCACCTGCAGGGCCACGACATCATCACCATCAGTAGCATGATCATCATCAGCATGAGTTTCACCTTAAGCAGCAGCAGTAGCAGACTCGTAATCAGCATCACCATCATCGGACTCATCAGCAGACAGCGAGAAAAGCAGCATCGACAACAACAGGAGCAACATCGCACGCATCCACAGAATCATCAGCATCACCATCCACAAAAACATCAGCATCACCAACATCAGCATCACCATCCACAGAATCATCAGCATCACCATCCACAAAAACATCAGCATCACCATCCACAGCAACATCAGCATCACCAACATCAGCATCACCATCCACAGAATCATCAGCATCACCATCCACAAAAACATCAGCATCACCATCCACAGCAACATCAGCATCACCAACATCAGCATCACCATCCACAAAAACATCAGCATCACCAGCAGCTGGCCAGTGCTATTTGGCGAAGGAAAGGGAGGGGGAGCACGTGGGGGGGTGGGGGCGCTTTCGGACGTCGCTCGTCGCTTCCGCGAGCCGTGAACGAGAATCGAGCTCTGCCCGCGGAGTTGGGGTGCTGGGGAGTTGGGGAGTTGGGGAGCTGGGGAGCTGGGGGAGCTGGGGAGCTGGGGAGTTGGGGAGTTGGGGAGCTGGGGAGTTGGGGAGTTGGGGAGTTGGGGTGCTGGGGAGTTGGGGAGCTGGGGAGCTGGGGGAGTTGGGGAGCTGGGGTGCTGGGGAGTTGGGGAGTTGGGGAGTTGGGGTGCTGGGGAGTTGGGGAGCTGGGGAGCTGGGGGAGTTGGGGAGCTGGGGTGCTGGGGAGTTGGGGAGTTGGGGAGTTGGGGTGCTGGGGAGTTGGGGAGTTGGGGAGTTGGGGAGCTGGGGAGCTGGGGAGTTGGGGAGTTGGGGAGCTGGGGAGTTGGGGAGTTGGGGAGTTGGGGTGCTGGGGAGTTGGGGAGCTGGGGAGCTGGGGGAGTTGGGGAGTTGGGGAGTTGGGGTGCTGGGGAGTTGGGGAGCTGGGGAGCTGGGGAGTTGGGGAGCTGGGGTGTTGGGGAGTTGGGGAGTTGGGGAGTTGGGGTGCTGGGGAGTTGGGGTGCTGGGGAGTTGGGGTGCTGGGGAGTTGGGGAGTTGGGGAGTTGGGGTGCTGGGGAGCTGGGGAGCTGGGGAGCTGGGGAGTTGGGGAGTTGGGGAGCTGGGGAGTTGGGGAGCTGGGGTGTTGGGGAGCTGAGAGGTTGGGGAGTTGGGGAGCTGGGGAGCTGGGGAGTTGGGGAGCTGGGAGGTTGGGGAGATGGGGAGCTGGGGAGCTGGGGAGCTGGGGAGTTGGGGGGCTAGGGAGTTGGTCTGTGGGGACACCGTGGTCGCTCTGTGTCCTCACTTCGAGGTCTCTGACGTTGATCCGCGTCCTCAAGCTGTAGCGCTGGCCCATGGACCACAACTTGGGCACGCAGTGCAGCAGCATGGTGTTAAACTACGCCAGGCCGGGGGGGGGGGGGGGGGGGGTGGGGGGCAAAGTGTCAGGGTGGTGTGAGAGTGCAGGGTGCTGCAGTCAGCATTGGTGCCTACGACGTACTACTGATGAGTCCTACTAAGGATGAAACCAATGCATAGTTTGTGTACCTCAGTTTGTAGAGACCCATAACTTAGAGACCCATAGACTTAGAGACACATAGATTTGCATAGAGGCTCACAGACATCTCGAGAGTAACTGCCACTGTCCGGCAGTCACAGTCACTCAAATGTATTTTGACGGTTACCTAAGACCACAATGTGCAGTTCTGGAGGAACTACTGGTGTTTTTTTGCGTAATGCGCAAGGCTGAGCGCTGTTGACGCGTCTTTGGGGGTTGTTTGAAACCCACCGCTGGGCACGTGATAGCCCTCATTCCCGGCCGTGTCGCAATTGCGCCATCGCGTTCATGCCGATCACAAAGTTTGCTCCTGATTGTGCTGCTGATGATGGCAACGATGGTGCTGCCAATGCCAATGAGTCTACTGCCGATGCTAATGTTCTTGATGAATCTGAAGCCGGGGATGATGATGACCCTGCTGCTGCTGCTGCTGTTGGCCTCACCAGGAAGAGGTAGCGCTCCTGCGGGACACCGATGCGCACGGAGCGCTTGAGGATGATTCCCTCCTTGAGCAGCTCCGTGTCGGGGCACACAATGTCCGTCACCTCCCCGCCCAGCATCTCGTGGACGCGCAGCAGCGCTTGCATGTGCTCCTGGGCGGGGGGGGGGGGGGGGTGGCAACACGCGGCAGACACGGTGAGACGAGCGGGGACACGGGGGGGGACACACCGAGACACGCAGGTACAACGCACGGGGAGTCACGTGGGACACGTGGAGACACGTGTGTAACACATGGCGGACAGCTCGTGGAGACACGCAGGGAGGGGGGGTGGAATACATACAGGGGGACACACACGGGCTAAACACGCAGAGACACGTGGAGGGACACACGGGACACCTCATGAGGACATGCGAGGACACACAGGTACATGTGGGTGCATGTGGAGACACGCTGTGGGGCGAGTGATGTGTTTGTGGTGGCGAGTGTGAGAGAGGAGAGAGAGGGGAGAGAGATAAGAGCGGGGCTCACGTTTCGCCTGATGGCGCTGTTGGAATGCGTGGCGGCCGTGGCGATGAGATCCAGCGATTCTGCACACGGAGCAAAACACACACGGCGCAGGACACACGCACGTGCGCGCGCGCACACACACATGGTTTTGGAACAGAACACGTGTTATGTAGAACAGAAGAGATGGAACAGAACGCACTCCATATTAGACACACACACACCAGAAGAACTTGCACACACAGCTCTCAAATGAGCACACACCGCACAGAACACAGAGATCAGAACAAAACACGCGCATCTCTCTGACATGAAGAGGCTCGTGGAATGAAACGTCAGACATCGTGCCGAACAACAGGCGCGGTACGACCCGAGAACACACCAGCAAGATACGCAGCAGCACAACCGTGAACACGCACGGCACGGAACACAACTTGCGCCAGCATAGAGTACACAGATCAGAACGGAACACGTCGTTTGGAACGGAACAACCACCGTTCGGAACAATCTTTATGTATCCATTCCGTCGATGTTACGCACGGAATTTAATTTGACCGATATATAAGACGTAAACGTTACGTTCCTAATTTCGGACTGAATATTTCCCGGGTCGCTGGTGTAGACTGGGGCATGCGACGGGGTGACTGAGCAGCTACGCCAAAGGCAAAGGGTGGCAAGGGGTGGCACACGGAACGCGGTGTGTGCCAGGCGCCTCACTCTCGGCGTCGGGGCGGTCGGGCGCGCCGGGTGCCAGCCGCTTGAGGTAGTCCTGCAGCAGCAGCTGGTAGCGTGGGATGCGCTGCACGGGGCCCAGCATGTGGTTCTGCAGCGTCAGGTTCATGCACTCCGCCTGCCGCTGGGGTAGGGACCCCACGGGGGAGAGGGGAGGGGGGGCGCGGGGAAGGAGGAGGGGGTCCCCAGTGGGTCCCGAATAAGATGAGGGAAGAGGGGAGGGGAGAGGGGCAGAGGAGAGATGACAGGAGATAGGGTGGTATTAAGGATTGCACGTGCGAGTGTGTGTACGTCTGTTCTTTGTGTGCATGTGTGTCATGGGGAGCGGTGGTGTAGTGGATATCACTGCGCTACGAACCCGGCGGCTCGAGTTTTGATTCCTGCTTCGTTGCAGCCAATACCAATTGGGAATATCTGAACCGGTCCTGGGCCTCCAGTGCCTGGTGTGGTGTGTAAACATCAGCAAGGGGAGACAAAGGCGGCCTGGCGTGGTGCTGGCCACCCACACCCTCGTGTGTCGTGCCAGCCTTTATAGGCACTCGTGAACAGCACTTGCTTGCTCCAGCAGTCAGCTAAAGTCTATACGGGGGACCTTTGTCTTTGTGTGCATGCGCATGTGTGTGTGACAGACAGGGGGTCGTTTGCGGTCCGTTTCAAGGCGGCAGGGCCTCGCGTGGCCGCAAGGTCCACGTGACGTCACATGGCGGGGCCGTGCCAGCAGTGGTCACTGCATCGCGCGCTTTCGGATGCGCTTCTGCGGCCGTCTGGAACGCTCTTCTTTCTGATATTGGGAAGCCACTGGCGCTATGCACTTTTAAATCGTCAAGATTGAAAACTAATTTCTTGAGAACTGCTTTTTGTGTTTAGTTTGTAGTCCTTCCCCCCGCACCTCCGATGAGCACGGTTGGTAATGTACGGTGCGAAAGAAGTTCAACACACACACACATACAGAGGTCTCAAACCAGGAGGGCTCGGCACGTGCTGTTTGCGAGCAACGTGGAGATGTGGCTCTGGCTACAGCGAGTCCGACAAAGGCAGGGGGGGTTGTGGGGGCACGCCCCCCACACGGAGATGGAGCAATGAAATAAAACACGTGTGCAGGCAGGTGCCAGGTGCATTGTTGCATCGCAGGACTGTGGAGTGGGTCGGGGGCCGTGAGAAACGGAAGTAGCGGGACCCACGCTGCGCCGGCACGTGTGTGCGTACGTGTGTGTGCGTGTGTGTGCGCGTGTGTGCGTGCGCGTGCGTACGTGTGTGCGTGCGTACCTTGTGTGCGTGCGTGTGTGTGTACTTGCATGCGTACGTGTGTGCGTGCGTGTGTGTGTGCGTGCGTGCGTGTGTGCGTGCATGCATGCATGCACCTGGATGTCGAGGACGATGTCGGCGAAGCGCGACGACTGGGTGGTCCAGGTGGACACCAGCTTGTGGGCGTCGTCGAAGTTCTTCACGTAGACTCCGTACATCTTGAGGAACGGCGCCAGCTTCTGCAGGATGTCCCCGATGCGCGGGTTCGTGTCCCTGGGGCGGTGGGGCGGCGACCAGGTCACGCAGGGGTCGTGGTAACGATCAGGACTCATTAAATGTCCCTGCTTGCGATGCAGAGCCTCGGGCTACGCGTCTAAGCCACTCCAGTCCTCACGGCCCACCACGGTTACGCCATTCTGCATTTGCCAATCTTCTCGGTTGACGTGCAAGTTAGGTTCTTGCATATTAAGCCGGGGCGATGGTGGCGGCACTGCTACGTAGGGCCGCCTGTAACCCAGCGCTGCGGAGGAAGCAGCGAGGGTTGGTGGATCGCCGCGTGAATGTTGTGAAACTCCCTTCCCGCGGGCGCATGAGGAGGTTCCGCTCTGCCCTGGCGTTTCTGAGATGCAGTCCCATAAATGTCGCTGCCATAAAGCGACCGCAATAATATTTATTATTACACACTGCACTTGCCTGATGATTGGTAAACAAGACCAAGGTAGAAACACACACACAGTCTCTATCCTAATTTGGTCGCGAGATGTTAACTACCTCGCCTGGCATGCAGGAGGTTGTGGGTTCAATCTCAGCCCTGACGCCTGCTTATATTTGGAATTTGCATGTCTCTCTCCCCGTGGTCGTGTGACATTTTCTCCAGGCCCTCCGGTTTTTCCCTCCGCATTTAGAATCGACATCACGCGTTTACAGTATTTGGCTGCTATACATTCCCACGTGATAATCCAACTTCGTTGCGGCCAGGTCGCTTCTGAAAAAGAGCTGTACAGCTCAGTGGGCCCATCGTGGTCAAATAAAAAGAGTTTACAGTTTTATTATGAGACTGCAACTGCTGCCCGCGCCGACGCCGTGGCCGCCGCACGCACCACTCCTGCATGCGCTGCTCAAGCTCGGGCAGCAGGAAGTCGCGGTGGAAGCTGTGGATGGAGGGAAGGTTGGAGAAGATCTGCGACACCACGTCCACCGAAAACGACCCCTTCTCCGCCTCCTCCCGCAGCTGCTTGTGGAACACCTGCGGGGCAACCCACGGGCAAGCGCGGGGGATAAACTCTTGACCTCGAGAGACGGCGGAGAGAGAGGGCGGATCGTCAGCTCGCCGTTCGTCCGCTCTGCGCGGCATTCTTACGGCATCAGGCAGCCCACCGGCGTTGGTTCAAGTCAGCCTGTCTCTGTTGATGAGACACTGATTGTTGAAACCAGTCTTTGCCGATGAACATCAGATAACTCCCCAGCGTTGTTCCAAGCCAACCTGACTGCTGATGAGGCAGTGAATGCCTAAAATGGCTCAGAGTTTTGCTTGCGTTGACTAGCCATTGCTGCTAAACGTATGCATTCCCAGATGGCCGTGTGACTGATGGGATGTGTAAAGAACGCAGTGCTGTGCACGACAACGCCCCTCACGATGCTGCGCGAGTCTCGTGGTGCAAGGCTCTCACGAAGGGAGGCGCCATCCCGGATCCCTCTTGCAAGCGCCGCTCACCCACGGCAATCTTGAGTTCTCACCCCGTTAACCAGACACACTCCGCAGTGGGGGGGGGGAGGGAGCGGAGCAATCTGGACATCTGTGAAAAGAGCTTCATAGCTCATCGGATTCTTCCACTCTAAATAAAGATTCTGATTCTGCCCCGGCCCTTTGCTTCACTTTGCATGCAATACACCGCCGTGTCCACCAGGAGGCGCCCCTCCCACGGCAGAGTGATGGAAGGACCCCTAACCCGACCCTTCTGTAGGTGCAGGTGCCGAGTGTTGGTGTCGGTGCAGGGTGTAGTGGCAGGATGTAGGTGCAGGGTGTAGGTGCAGGGTGCAGGGTGTAGGTGCGGGGTGTAGGTGCAGGGTGTATGCGCTGGGTGTAGGTGCGGGTGTAGGTGCGGGGTGTAGGTGCAGGGTGTAGGTGCGGGTGTAGGTGCAGGGTGTATGCGCTGGGTGTAGGTGCGGGGTGTAGGTGCGGGTGTAGGTGCGGGGTGTAGGTGCGGGTGTAGGTGCGGGGTGTAGGTGCGGGTGCAAGGTGTAGGTGCGGGGTGTAGGTGCGGGTGTAGGTGCGGGGTGTAGGTGCGGGGTGTAGGTGCGGGGTGTAGGTGCGGGGTGTAGGTGCAGGGTGCAGGTGCAGGGTGTTGGTGCAGGGTGTTGGTGCAGGGTGCAGGGTGCAGGTGCAGGGTGCAGGGTGCAGGGTGCAGGTGCAGGGTGCAGGTGCAGGGTGTAGGTGCAGGGTGTAGGTGCAGGGTGCAGGTGCAGGGTGCAGGTGCAGGATGTAGGTGCAGGGTGTTGGTGCAGGGTGCAGGTGCAGGGTGTAGGTGCGGGTGTAGGTGCAGGGTGCAGGTGCAGGGTGTAGGTGCAGGGTGTAGGTGCAGGGTGTAGGTGCAGGGTGTAGGTGCAGGGTGTAGGTGCAGGGTGCAGGTGCAGGGTGTAGGTGCAGGATGTAGGTGCAGGGTGTTGGTGCAGGGTGCAGGTGCAGGGTGTAGGTGCGGGTGTAGGTGCAGGGTGTAGGTGCAGGGTGCAGGTGCAGGGTGCAGGTGCAGGATGTAGGTGCAGGGTGTAGGTGCAGGGTGCAGGTGCAGGGTGTAGGTGCGGGTGTAGGTGCAGGGTGTAGGTGCAGGGTGCAGGTGCAGGGTGTTGGTGCAGGGTGTTGGTGCAGGGTGCAGGGTGCAGGTGCAGGGTGCAGGTGCAGGGTGTAGGTGCAGGGTGTAGGTGCAGGGTGCAGGGTGCAGGTGCAGGGTGAGCACCTCATCCAGGAGGCTGAGCCTCTTCACGTAAGTCCTCTCCGTCTCCAGCAGCTCCATGGCAGTGAGGTGCAGCTTCTGGAGGAGGGGGAACCGACGGGGGGACGTCGTGACGAGGTCGGCGAGGTGGTGGCCGTGCCAGGTTCACAGTGGCCGTGCCAGGTTCACAGTGGCCGTGCCAGGTTCACAGTGGCCGTGCCAGGTTCACAGTGGCCGTGCCAGGTTCACAGTGGCCGTGCCAGGTTCACAGTGGCCGTGCCAGGTTCACAGTGGCCGTGTCAGGTTCACAGTGGCCGTGCCAGGTTCACAGTGGCCGTGCCAGGTTCACAGTGGCCGTGTCAGGTTCACAGTGGCCGTGTCAGGTTCACAGTGGCCGTGTCAGGTTCACAGTGGCCGTGTCAGGTTCACAGTGGCCGTGTCAGGTTCACAGTGGCCGTGTCAGGTTCACAGTGGCCGTGTCAGGTTCACAGTGGCCGTGCCAGGTTCACAGTGGCCGTGCCAGGTTCACAGTGGCCGTGCCAGGTTCACAGTGGCCGTGCCAGGTTCACAGTGGCCGTGCCAGGTTCACAGTGACCGTGCCAGGTTCACAGTGGCCGTGCCAGGTTCACAGTGGCCGTGTCAGGTTCACAGTGGCCGTGTCAGGTTCACAGTGGCCGTGTCAGGTTCACAGTGGCCGTGTCAGGTTCACAGTGGCCGTGTCAGGTTCACAGTGGCCGTGTCAGGTTCACAGTGGCCGTGTCAGGTTCACAGTGGCCGTGCCAGTGGCCGTGCCAGGTTCACAGTGGCCGTGCCAGGTTCACAGTGGCCGTGCCAGGTTCACAGTGGCCGTGCCAGGTTCACAGTGGCCGTGCCAGGTTCACAGTGGCCGTGCCAGGTTCACAGTGGCCGTGCCAGGTTCACAGTGGCCGTGCCAGGTTCACAGTGGCCGTGCCAGGTTCACAGTGACCGTGCCAGGTTCACAGTGGCCGTGCCAGGTTCACAGTGGCCGTGTCAGGTTCACAGTGGCCGTGCCAGGTTCACAGTGGCCGTGCCAGGTTCACAGTGGCCGTGCCAGGTTCACAGTGGCCGTGCCAGGTTCACAGTGACCGTGCCAGGTTCACAGTGGCCGTATCAGAGACACTCGGACAGGATGGCCAAGGTCCTGGGTTGGGATCTGGGTCTGGCTGCCTGTGAGTGAACCGCACAGACGCCTATGGACGGACATAACCCCGTAGACTCGCACAGAGACACATACACCCGTAGACTCGCACAGAAACCCATAACCCTGTAGACTCGCACAGAGACACATACACCCCGTAGACTCGCACAGAGACACATACACCCCGTAGACTCGCACAGAAACCCATAACCCTGTAGACTCGCACAGAGACACATACACCCCGAAGACTCGCACAGAGACCCATAACCCCGTAGACTCGCACAGAGACCCATAACCCTGTAGACTCGCACAGAGACCCATAACCCTGTAGACTCGCACAGAGACACATAACCCTGTAGACTCGCACAGAGACCCATACACCCCGTAGACTCGCACAGAGACCCATACACCCCGTAGACTCGCACAGAGACACATAACCCTGTAGACTCGCACAGAGACCCATACACCCCGTAGACTCGCACAGAGACCCATACACCCTGTAGACTCGCACAGAGACACATAACCCTGTAGACTCGCACAGAGACCCATACACCCCGTAGACTCGCACAGAGACACATACACCCCGTAGACTCGCACAGAGACCCATACACCCCGTAGACCTCGCACAGAGACCCATACACCCTGTAGACTCGCACAGAGACACATAACCCTGTAGACTCGCACAGAGACCCATACACCCCGTAGACTCGCACAGAGACACATACACCCCGTAGACTCGCACAGAGACCCATAACCCCGTAGACTCGCACAGAGACCCATAACCCTGTAGACTCGCACAGAGACCATACACCCCGTAGACTCGCACAGAGACACATACACCCCGTAGACTCGCACAGAGACCCATACACCCCGTAGACTCGCACAGAGACCCATACACCCTGTAGACTCGCACAGAGACACATAACCCTGTAGACTCGCACAGAGACCCATACACCCCGTAGACTCGCACAGAGACACATACACCCCGTAGACTCGCACAGAGACCCATAACCCCGTAGACTCGCACAGAGACCCATAACCCTGTAGACTCGCACAGAGACCCATAACCCCGTAGACTCGCACAGAGACACATAACCCTGTAGACTCGCACAGAGACCCATACACCCCGTAGACTCGCACAGAGACCCATACACCCCGTAGACTCGCACAGAGACCCATACACCCCGTAGACTCGCACAGAGACCCATACCCCCGTAGACTCGCACAGAGACACATACACCCCGTAGACTCGCACAGAGACCCATACACCCCCGTAGACTCGCACAGAGACCCATACACCCCGTAGACTCGCACAGAGACCCATACACCCCGTAGACTCGCACAGAGAACCCTACACCCCGTAGACTCGCACAGAGACCCATACACCCCGTAGACTCGCACAGAGACCCATACACCCCCGTAGACTCGCACAGAGGACCCATACACCCCGTAGACTCGCACAGAGACCCATACACCCCGTAGACTCGCACAGAGACCCATACACCCCTGAGACTCGCACAGAGACACATAAACCCGTAGACTCGCACAGAGACCCTACACCCCGTAGACTCGCACAGAGACCCATACACCCCGTAGACTCTCCACAAGGAGACCCTACACCCCGTAGACTCGCACAGAGACCCATACAACCCAGTAGACTCGCACAGAGACCCATACAACCCCGTAGACTCGCACAGAGACCCATACACCCTGTAGACTCGCACAGAGACCCATACACCCCGTAGACTCGCACAGAGACCCATACACCCCGTAGACTCGCACAGAGACCCATACACCCCGTAGACTCGCACAGAGACCCATACACCCCGTAGACTCGCACAGAGACCCATACACCCCGTAGACTCCACAGAGACCCATACACCCCGTAGACTCGCACAGAGACCCATACACCCCGTAGACTCGCACAGAGACCCATACACCCCGTAGACTCGCACAGAGACACATCACACCCCGGAGACTTCGCACAGAGACCCATACACCCCGTAGACTCGCACAGAGACCCATACACCCCGTAGACTCGCACAGAGACCCTACACCCCGTAGACTCGCACAGAGACCCATACCCCCGTAGACTCGCACAGAGACCCATACACCCCGTAGACTCGCACAGAGACCCATACACCCCGTAGACTCGCACAGAGACCCATACACCCCGTAGACTCGCACAGAGACCCATACACCCGTAGACTCGCACAGAGACCCATACACCCCGTAAGACTCGCACAGAGACCCATACACCCGTAGACTCGCACAGAGACCCATACACCCCGTAGACTCGCACAGAGACCCATACACCCCGTAGACTCGCACAGAGACCCATACACCCCGTAGACTCGCACAGAGACCCATACACCCCGTAGACTCGCACAGAGACCCATACACCCCGTAGACTCGCACAGAGGACCCATACACCCCGTAGACGCGCACAGAGACCATCACCCGAGATCGCACAGACACTACACCCCGTAGACTCGCACAGAGACCCATACACCCCGTAGACCTCGCACAGAGCCCCACACACCCCGTAGACTCGCACAGAGACCCATACACCCCGTAGACTCGCACAGAGACCCATACACCCCGTAGACCTCGCACAGAGACCCATACACCCCGTAGACTCGCACAGAGACCCATACACCCCGTAGACTCGCACAGAGACCCATACACCCCGTAGACTCGCACAGAGACCCATACACCCCGTAGACTCGCACAGAGACCATACACCCCGTAGACTCGCACAGAGACCCATACACCCCGTAGACTCGCACAGAGACCCATACACCCCGTAGACTCGCACAGAGAACCCATACACCCCGTAGACTCGCACAGAGACCCATACACCCCGTAGACTCGCACAGAGACCCATACACCCCGTAGACTCGCACAGAGACCCATACACCCCGTAGACTCGCACAGAGACCCATACACCCCGTAGACTCGCACAGAGACCCATACAACCACCGTAGACTCGCACAGATACCCATACACCCCGTAGACTCGCACAGAGACCCATACACCCCGTAGACTCGCACAGAGACCCATACACCCCGTAGTACTCGCCCACAGAGACCCATACACCCCGTAGACCTCGCACAGAGACCCATACACCCCGTAGACTCGCACAGAGACCCATACACCCCGTAGACCGCACAGAGACCCATACACCCCGTAGACTCGCACAGAGACCATACACCCCGTATGACCTCGCACAGAGCCCATACAACCCGTAGAACTCGCACAGAGACCAACACCTAACACCCCCGTAGACTCGCACAGAGACCCATACACCCCGTAGACTCGCACAGAGACCATACACCCCGTAGACTCGCACAGAGACCCATACACCCGTAGACTCGCACAGAGACCATACACCCCGTAGACTCGCACAGAGACCCATACACCCCGTAGACTCGCACAGAGACCCATACACCCCGTAGACTCGCACAGAGACCCATACACCCCGTAGACTCGCACAGAGACCCTACACCCGTAGACTCGCACAGAGACCCATACACCCCGTAGACTCGCACAGAGACCACATACACCCCGTAGACTCGCACAGAGACCCATACACCCGTAGACTCGCACAGAGACCCATACACCCCGTAGACTCGCACAGAGACCCATACACCCCGTAGACTCGCACAGAGACCCATACACCCCGTAGACTCGCACAGAGACCCATACACCCGTAGACTCGCACAGAGACCCATACACCCCGTAGACTCGCACAGAGACCCATACACCCCGTAGACTCGCACAGAGACCCATACACCCCGTAGACTCGCACAGAGACCCATACACCCCGTAGACTCGCACAGAGACCCATACACCCCGTAGACTCGCACAGAGACCCAGTACACCCCGTAGACTCGCCAGAGACCCATACACCCCGTAGACTCGCACAGAGACCCAACCA